TATATAAAAATGTATATTAATATAAAATGTTCTCCAGCACCTCTGGAATGGTGTACAAGAATACAATGCTGGTGCAACTGTTCAAGGGGCACCAGAAAAGTTTAGTCGATACTCTACTTAAATTCACTACCACTGCAGAGGGAGAAAAATCCCGTTTATGTCCCAGGCTCTTGATGACTTCAGTGCTACTCACTTCCCAATGGTATTCCCGTTTCTTTTCCTCATCCTGTATCAGTCTCACTCAGAACCCTGTGACTACCTTCCCTTCTCTTTTCTTCAACTACTGATTCATTTCTTTGTTTCTAATCCTTTCCTCTAATGCACAAAGTTTAAACTTAGAATTTCTCTTTCCTTTCTTACTGAAACCATTGCTGTTTCTGTGTAATGGCAGTGAAAACTGCAACAGTCAATTCTTCATGTTGGTGTTTTCCCTATTTTCTAATTAACAACTGGTCAAGAATTTCTTTTTGTCTTGGTTCCACCTTAGCCTCATCTTTTTATGACACCAGATAAAATAAGCCTCCAAGGAGTGCTTATAGCTAATTCCAAGGAAGCGCTCACTATTTCAGCAAAAATACTAAAAAGTAATACCAATAAAATAACATTTCAAACATTTCACTCTGTCATGTATATCTAACAACTTCTACGCTAAACAGAAACTGTTGTATTTGGAACCCAACAATAACAAATATGGAAAGCATCAAGTCACTTTTCGGGGGGTGGCGGGGGGGAAGTTATTTTAGTATTTTAAACTGTTGTGCTGAAAAACAAGTATGAGAATAAACTTCTCATAAGCCACATCCAAATTAATTCAGGATACCATAAAGAACAAAGAAATCTAATTTCAAAGTGTATGTGAAATTTGAAGCAATACAAGGAAAAAAAAATCTTCAATTCTAAATATTTTAATATGAATTTTGACATTATATGACAGCTTAAGCTAACAAGCTTTTAAAGTATGTAATAGCCAGGAGTTGTACATTAAGAAAATTCTCACATTAAGCATTTGGGAGGAACACCCTATATACTATTTGACCCTCTATTCAAAACAGATTTTGCAAGTTTAGCTGTGCTCTTCATGCTAATGGAAATGTCTCCTTTTCCTTAACAGCTTCCTTTTGGTTTCAATAGCCATTGTTAATTGGTTCCAGAGTTAGCATAGAGTTTGTAAATTTTAACTTAAACAACAACGACTTACCCTTAAAGACTCCTGGAATGAGGAGGCCTGGTACTGTGCATATTTAGCAATCGTTGTATGAGATCTACTGCTTTCACAACGCCAGATTTTCTTTGTTCCAGTGGGGTCCCAGTTTTCATCTGCTGGCTGCAGTAGTTGTGTCCTCACTTCTACTATGTGTTCATTATTTGCTTCTACCAGTGTCTTAGTAGAGAAGAGTCCTAGATCTAATAAATAGGAATAAAATTAGTAAGTGACAATTAAAATATAAAAAGTTTCAAGAAAATAAGACATTAATACTTAAAGTTATCTAAAGGTTTAAACTGAAGCATTCCCCCCCCCGCCTCAGCCTTCACAACACAGCCTACCTGTAGGTTAAAAATTAACATTCACGATTAACACTCAAACGGCTTTTCTGCACACAACAGTAGAAACTTAGAAAAAAACTTGGCAGCTACTGCATGGACTATATTCCAAGAAACATTTTACATGATTTGTGTAAAAAGAAATCTGCAATGTTTAAGTCCATTACCAATAAAATATTTTTCAGACTATAGTTTTATGAAAGCACTTCCACTATATAAACATTTCCTACCAGCAATGATGGTTTTTCTATCTACAAGGTTCAAAATACCATACACAGTCAGATTATAGATCATTAAATCTAAGCACAAAGACATGTAGCCTTAGTTTTCACAGGAAAAAAGACTAGCTGTAAGCTTTCATATCCACAGCTCAGCTCTTCTCCGTGCCCAACAAAATCTGCTGGATTTGGGGATTTTTTCTTTTTCTTTCCGAGATGATCAAGATTAGAAACAGTAGCAAACAGAAATGACCCATTACCCTAATTACTTGGAATATATAAGTAATACAGTATTACAGAAATAAAATATCTACTTTTAGGAACCAAGAGACTTCTTTTTAAAAAACACCTAGTTTTTTTCCCCGCAGTAAAAAAAACGTATAAAGTAAACTTACCTAATTTAAGCGCTCCAGCAAGGCCACGTATTACAGTAACAGGGTTGTTTGGATTTGTACAAAATTGATGTAAAGGTGGAAAGAAAGCATCTCGTTTATTTTCCAACTGTAAAATTATAATGGAATATTAGATGTCAGATGAATTCAGATTCCTTATTTGTAAAAATAAGAAAGAATAATTAAAAAAACCCAAACAACAAAACAGAAAGAAGACAGGAATTTTCTCCATTTGCCTGCACTGTGGGGAATGAACAGCTAAAACATACAAGCCTTTCCATGTTAAAAGCTGGGTTCACTCCTGAAATTAATTTGTTACTACAATTTCTTTCTTGGCATGAATTATTCCCATGTTACTTCGGCTTTTGCAACTCAGGTTTCCTCCTGTTGATTTCTTTATCTGACAGTAGCCTTGTACATCCCCTAAATCTACAGAATTCTCTAAAGAGCAAGATAATACACTAACTTCCTTTTCATAAGTCAAAAAAGCTAATTCTACAGATAATATATATAAGAAACAGTGTAATTAAAAAGACTACTCTGACAGTATATTTCATGTTAACTAGAAAGGTTGATTTGATTTTCTTATGCTTTTGTGCACCTATGACCTCAATTTTATGCTATAGTCTCTCTCATTTTTTTTTTCTTTTTAAATTGTGTTTCTTTTAAAATGCTGAAGGCATTTTCTTCAATAAACGAAACACGATAAAATACTGGGACCCACACTGACACATCTACACAGTATGCTGCAGCATGGTGACTTACCAGCTTTGTAGACTCAAAGCTGTGATGGACTTTTAATAAGGTAGATTAATTTAGATGCAACACTTGGAGAACAGTTGGAAGCTCTATTGCTTCCAACTTAATTTAGCTCTCAGGCAGACTGCTTGTGTAGTATCAAAGCGAAGTGCAAACCGCTTCTGGTCCCCAAGCTGAGCTGACCAAAGCTAACTTGAGGTTTTCACACTGGCTGTATGGACATCCTATAATTTATTCTACTATTACTAAGGCAGTTAGCTCAAACTCTTTATGAAACTTTATTTTCAGAACAGAAGTTTTAATGTTTGCATAAGAAAATACTATGCAACTAAAACCTGCCTTCTCCTAATGACATTTTATTCTTAACATCACCTCAACTTTTATTAATGTTTTTCTTTACTGTATTTTGAAGCAGATTGCTAGGAAAGTTCAGTTTAATTACTTGCTTACATATACCTAAACCGTCACTTGCAAAATTGTACATACGTACTTGAAATACTGTGCGCTGTCTCTAATGAGCTGTTCTGCTTATTCTGTCAATATTTTGAGTATTAAAAAAGAAACAAAAAAATTCTGAAGCTGTTTTTTCCTCTTGTTTACTGAAATTCTTAATTTACAAGCGCTTTAAGAGTCAAACTACATCTCAAAATTTTCTTTAAGGTTAGCGTTTTTCTGCTTATACACTAGTTGGCAGAGCACTGTAATTAGAATTCAGCTGTGAATAGTGCATCTTTAAAATAATTACATTATGTAATTCAGATATCCAAACAATTACAAAAGACAGTAAGCAATGCACTTCAACCATTAGGTTTACTCACATAAATACTAGGTGTAGGTGGATTCAGCTTGTCCTTTGGCAAGGGAGGGTACGGTGGAGGCGGTGGTCGTGGAGGTGGGCATTTATCCAATAGAATACTACTGTTAGATAAGCCATTTTTACCCAGATTCCTAAAAGAAAAGAAGAGCTGCCTCTGTCAATACTTGACAAATAAAATACATACATATTAGTGTCATCTCTTCTGCAAAATAATGATGCATAAGGAGAAACTGTAATTCAAGATGCAAAGAAAGCTCATATATATGAATCAAGAATTCTCAGTGGATAATTTGGTATTATTTGAAATAATTCCCACTTTCCCTGCCAAATCTGCAACATCCCCACTACTAGCTAAAAATGTAGCCCTTTTAAATAAAAGCAAGTGTGACTCATTTGCAAAATTTAACAGAGAAAGCAGGTTTCAACCAGAAATAGAGAAGAACGTTATTAGGTCAGCACTGGCTGGTGGATGCTCAATTCACAGCAGGGGAGGTAACGCAGTCCGAATGCCGTGCGTAGCACTGGGGAAGGGCACAAAGTCACAAAATGACAATGCCTCAGCCAAAAAACTGCCAAGTCACAAACCCCAACTACAACTACGCTAACAACACTAAATTAAACAACCACCTACCCCTCTCTGATTTACACATTTTGAAGCCAGGAGGAGCCACTGCTGCACAATCCAGTTGTTTGAGCAACAGAGGAAAAGACGTACCCTGTGCGAGTTGCTGTGTCAACACCTGTATGTGTGCTTGAGCGAGAACCTTGCTTGTTGTATTTGCCAGCCTTTCCTTGGAGGTTTCCAGACATGGATAACCCACTGTACGTGTGTTAACTTTTCCTATACTGAATGACCTGAGAGTCTGCATTCTGAGCTTAGTCTATATTCAATTTCCAGTCACTATCACCAGGAAGGTGATAATTAACAATTTTTAATTAACAAAACAATCCCTTAATTTTTTTTTTTTTGTTAAAAATGACTCAACTATTTCAAGATTCTTCCAGCTAAACACTGTTCAAATCCTTCCTACAACCTCACTTGACTCACTAGCTGTTGTTACCACCTCTCAACAGCCCACAAAAAGGGGTATTTTGAATGTGTAACTTAGTCATGTACCATCATATAACTCACCAGTTACAAAAAAGTTTTTCTGGTAACGACAGCCTTCAGCAGAAAGTGCAATTGACTTCTATTAGGTGAAACTCCTAGCAATAGAGCTTGTCTCTGAAAAGCAGAAACTGTGATACTGTCACTGAGAAACATTGTAGAGCTGGATGCTGGCACACAAGAGCGTTGCTTCCAATCAAGGTACCGCAAACCATGAGCAAGATGGACTTGGGGCTTGAGATCAGGTCAGACTGAGTGTTATGACAAACACTTTGAAGAATATGAGCAAACATCTCACCTACCCCAGGCTGCAGCAAAGACGAGCATCCTAAGAAACTGGTGCTTGTCATGACAAACGAGTCAGTCATTCAGTTCAGAACTTACGCCAGCGTTCTAACTCATACATGGCTCTCCTCTGACAGAAGATCAGAGCAATACAGACAGAGACATATTTAACAACTGCCTCCAAATCATGCCTGTCAAAATACCAAACACAGCTTATTCCTTTTGAGGAATATTCCTAGGCGAGTCTAATGCCAGAAAAGATTGCAACTTCAAGGAAACTGAAAGAGCACTGTGTAAACTTTGATTAGGCATCATCCAACTTGGCAAAAACCTCACTGACCAATGCTTAATGTCTAATGTAGTTCTTGCAAAGACCCTATTGCCCCCCATCCCCCACAACAGAAAAAACAATGGCAATATAAAATCATAATCAACCAAAGAAATTTATCAACCACGGCTGCATTAATCTAAGATTCAGACCATCTATACAAAGTGAAACTATAATCTGAACAGTGTGTATTAGAAGTAACTATAATCTCTGCACTACCAAACTGAAAAATAAAACCAAGAAAAGCAAATGCCTTAAAAAAATCAAAAATAACTACGACAAAATTCAGTTTGAATTGATAAACAGTTCTCAGGCAACTTCCGAGGCAAGGCAGATGAGAAAGACCCAGCCTGGAGAAAAAGAGACATTGCTCAGAACGAGCATAACTTTTAAGCTACTCTAGTCACCATGGATAATCACCACAGCCAAAGCTCAGTAAAGCCAGGGTACATGGGGTCTTCAGGGAAGGGGGACAACAGAGAAAGGAAACACTCCTGTACGGTTAGAGAAATTACAGGTCTGAAAAGGCAAAGGAGATATAGAAGAAAGCAGACAGTACAGAGGAAAACATCAGATGAACAGAGATATCTCATAAACCCACTTGAAGTTGATAGTACCAAATGTATGCCACAGTTTCCTTTTAAGTTACTAAAACCCTGTGTGGAAATTTCAAGAGAGGAAAGGGGCCGAAGAAAGGCAAAGCTGAGATAGGAAAACACTCATAATTCAAGTGGTGCAGGAAACAGATGGGCAGAATATTTAAAGTTGTCTTTAACGGACAAGTTTCACTCTATCATCTTTTTTTTTTTTTTTACTATGAATCAGAATAACTTACTATTAATAACAATGCAAGAAAGCTATTAACGAACAATGCTGTAATTGATAGTGTGCAAAAAAGAGCAACTGAAATTATAAAAAACACCGCAGAAATACTGAAAAGATTTGCTACAAGCACCTGAAATGAAGCCGTGTGAGTATTCACTGCTGGCCTCTCCGCCTCTGGAAATAGAGAATTACGGCCAGTGCAAGGCACGTGAATTACCCTTTCTGACTACAGCAACCATGAAAAAAATCTCACGTACCTCTACTTCAAGAGCGTATTTTTTGTAAGAGGATTTCATACTGGCTGAAAGAGGAAACACATGCAACGTTGGGGGGGGGGAAGCCTGATGTTGGCCCTGAAAAGAAACTGGATGCCCAAGCAGTCACCTACAACGCCATGGTGGCGTAATGAAGAGAAGGACAGGCTTCATTCATTTAAATTGACTTTCTAGAGGGAATTCGCTTTTCATGGACTGCGCAGGCAGGAGAACACCCTTCATTCCCGCAGAGTGGGAAGAGAAGGCAGGAGCAGCCGTCAGCCTCAGAAAGGTAAGGACAGGGCGCGCACTGACGCGCAGCGCTGTGCTGAGCCCACGCCGCAGCGCACAGTCCGCTGCAACTTGCTCGATGCGTAAAAAGCAACAACTCGGGCAACTGCTCTACCCTGAGGACCAAACTCAAACCGCCATGCTTATGAGCGACACCAACCACTATGGATGAAACAGGTGCCTTGGTTTCGTGTAATTATGAGATCTTTTGAATAATCAATCATCAGATTACTAAACCACTCCTTTTTTCTCCGTTTTATGGCTTTCTAGGATACCTTCCCACACCTTCTAAAAAGTTTACAGCCTTCAGGCTTAGAGAACAACTTCCCCTCTGGCTGTACCAAAACACAGTTAGCCAGAAGCAAAGGTGTGACCCAGTTTGCTTTGCAACAGTCACGCTCCTCTTCAATATATAGCACTTGCTCCCCAGTCTGTGCTTTCAGCAAATACTAACACAAATAATTTAATGTTATCTAGGAATTTCTTGACAAATGGAGACTGATGGCTTAGCCTGAGATGACGCCTTCATCCATCTACCACACTTCTTCCCTCGAGTCTACTATTTTTACTGCATGAACAACCCAGCAGTCTCTTACGCAGCTGGGACGTCCCTGCCCCATGGGAAGATGGACTCCAGCTGCTCTAGCCTGACAGACTCCCCTGTCAGAGCCCTACATCACCATCAAAAACTAAATAAAACAAGACCAAAGTCTGATCAACTGAAACATTTACCATTACACGAAACTTATTAGGTAGTTGCTATACACTTCAGAGGTACTATATTGACTTTGCATCGTCCTAGTGGACTAAAAAAGATACCATGCAAGTTCAAAGCCAACTGGGCTACACAGCTGTATTAATTTTAACCCTACTTTATTATACAAATTCTCAACTACATCAAGAATATTAAAGTTAACATGATAAAACTAATTTTCTGAGAAGCCTAATGTCAGACTGAGAGGATTACATCTATTTCTCGGAAAGTAGTTCCATAGTGCTTTTCAAGACCTCTGGAACTTCTGTTTTCCAAGAACTAAAAAAACCAAACCAAACCAAACCAAACCAAACCTCTGTGAACCATCTGGCCTGCTCTTTCAGAGCTCATGGATGTATGTTATCTGGGCCTCTCACTTAAAAATGCCAAATTTAAGTATAACTATTGTTTAACTTTCTTCTTGATTATTGTGAAAGCAGAGATTATTGTACATCTCATCAACTCTCTTGCCTCTATTGACTATTCTAATAGCTCCATGCAGTCATTAACCACTAGTGGTTTTTGTGTTTCTTGGCTATAGTTTTCCTCTTCCAAACTTCATTTTTGAATTTTCAAGAACTCTTAGCTTCAGTACTTTTAAAATATTTGCCATTTTTGTTTTTAATTGGGAGATTGTGACTTTTTGATGATAATGAAAAGTTCCTACTAAACAACTCCCAGTTATCTGTACATTTGGATTTTAGGTACACTTCATAGGTCAAAACAGAGTAAGTTACAATCATTTGCACTTAAGCAGTTATTTTTATTGTGAAGTCAAAGTGAATTATTATTTGCTGCATGAGAATTAACAAGCTTTTACCGCTCACAAGATTATAGTTTTTCTGAAGAACATTAATACCCTCTTTTCTCCAATGAAAATAATATTTAACATGAATATAAGGAACTGTGGATTTCTGAGATACTCTATCTCAAATCTATCAGAATTAAATAATCTACAAAAAGAACAAACAAAATGTTTTAAAAATGTGCCTGCAGAAGGAATCAGTTGAATCACTGGGATGCACAGTACTTACTTGACCCAGTCCTACTTCAAAACAGAAATACCCATCCTGTCTTAAAATTAGTGGATATAATTAATTGCTTTCATACTCCAAGTTACTACAGAAACACAGAAAAATGTCCGTCAACTCTCATCACTCCGGGAAGGTGGCGGTTACTTACAATGCCTAACTTGGGCCCTCTGCAGCCCACCTCCCCCAAGCTCCTTCTACAGCCACTAGAGAGAGAGGTAACCTTGCAACGGGGAATATGAAGTCGTCAAGTCA